CTCACGCCTATAATCCTAGCACTTTGGGAGGCCGATGAGGGTGGATCACATGAGGGTAGATCACATGAGGCCGGGAGTTTGAGATCACCCTGGCCAACATGGTGAAATCCCATCTCTACAAAAGTACAAAAAAAGAAAACTCATCAGGCATATAGCTCATGTCTATAATCCCAGCTACTCGGGAAGCTGAGACAGGAGAACTGCTTCAACCCAGGAGGTGGAGGTTGCAGTGAGCTGAGATCGCGCCACTGCACTCCAGTCTGGGTGACAGAGCGAGACTCTATCTCAGAAAACAAAAAGCAAACAAACAAAATTCTATTCTACTCAGTGTCTTCAGGCAACTTTATTGTATCCTCAAATGGCCAGCACTATTTTGCTGGTCCCTTGCCTAGGTTTGTTATTTCCCAAACCTTGACCTGGTCTCATACTAGATCTTTAGTATGCCCACTTACTAGATTTCTTGATATGTTCATAGTCAAAACCACAACAGCCAGATTCCCTGATTTCTGGGACTCTTCTAGGAGATTTGGTTTCAGGGTACAGTTACTGAAAACCCAGGGCTTCTGCAGAATGGTTTTGAGTCACCATGATTCCCTTGCTGATTTGATTGTCCTCTTGTCTTTGGCCAAAAAATACATACTGCAGGATGATAACTTTCAAAAATAATTGAAACAGTAAAGAACTAGTTTGAATTTAAGGTTATATCCTGGACTCGATTGTCTTCCCTCCATGGTCTCCAACAGAGAGGCCAAGAAACAAAAGATTTTAAAAACAAGCTTAATTTCAGTGGACCATGAAGTTACAGTAACTTATATTGATACCCTGACTGCATTATCACAAAAAATTAGTGTACTGTAGTCTACATAATAGTCCATAGAGGACTCAGTTTTATAGTATGAAAAAACCGTTGAAACTTTGCCTAGTCTATAAGACTTCAGGTTAATTTCTGGCATTGTAGGTTTGGTTTTTGCAGCCAAAATCTCTTTCATGAAAAGAAAATGTTTTGAATCCTAGATGAGAATAACAAACAAGAAAATGGACAAGGCATTACATATTGGCCTCTTGCCCTGTTTAAAAAGGGTGAAAATGGAAGTAGATAAGCTGCAAAGTGTCCTGTATGTGATTAATGTTGACACATGAAACAGATGTCTAAAGTGCTTCACAAATGGAACTGTTGTTCCAAAGCATTATTCAAAGTTGTTCCACTATTAATTTAGGATGAATAGTCTAAATGTTGGCTGAGATTTTTAATTTTTAATTGAATTAATAGTTTCACTTTATTCAAAAGGGGCTATTATCATGGATTCTCTGTTAATCATGTGTACTTCTAATGGCTTTCTGTGATAGTAAATAAGACTTTCCTGTGGGCTGCCATTGCATTTTTACTAAATAGTTTAGCATCTAGTTAAGAATCAGGAATAAAAGAGTACTAAGACTGTGTCACATACTCTTAGGCAAATTACAATTGTTGAGGGCATGTTTCTCTGTCTCTTAAGTGATTTCTTCTCATTGATCAATCGCCTTCTTGAGGGTGTTATAGGGAACTCACTATTGGATCATTTTTATGATTGATCATCAGAACCACATGTTACTGTTACCCACATCTAATGGCTCCTTCCTCTTGGTAGTAGAATTATTAGTAGATGCTCTTCAGACACAATGGAAAAGCTCAGAAACAACTCTCTGAGGGTCTCTAGCTTTAAAAAAAAAAAAAAAAGCGGCTACCACATGTATTACTATTTTGTGTGTCTTATCACTATGCATTTTTTTAAAGAGCTATATGGAAGGTATTTTGATACTTTGTCTCAGAGATGTCAAAATAATTTTCCTAGGACACAAAGTAGGAGGTAGAACCAAAATTGAGAAATTGGTATGTCTGGCTCCCAAAGCTCTCTCCTCTGATTCAGACTTTAATTTTTGGATATTTACATTGAGCAGAGTACACATTATTGTGCTCTGGACCTCCTACTTTGATATTTGTTAGTGTAGTAGTTAGAAGCCTCAACTTTAAAATTCATTGCTTGGGTTTGATTTCCTACTCTGACATTTCTCAGGTTTGTGACTTTGAGCAAATTATTTAACCTCTCAATGCCTGCCATTTCTTACCTAGTTTGTAAGATTGTTGTGAGAATTAAGTGAAATAATGTAAAGCACTTAGAATAGGTGTACCTATTTATTGTTGTTTTTTATTTATTGTAATACATCAGTTTTCTCTAAGTACTCTTGGAATCTCCAGATAATGCTTTATGTTTTTAGTTAATACAATCATTGTAAGTGATTTCTAGATGTGTAATTTTTCTGACAATATACGTTTCTAACTTTATAATTTTCATAAGCAAATAATCCATACTCTTAAGCATGCCTTGAACAGAGGAGTTAATACAAAGTGTTGAGAAGGGATAAAGCTGGAGCTACACCTAGGTAAGGATTATTCCCCAAACCTCTCTACCATCAAACTGGATTTGTAAAAGATAAAAATTATCACCGTTATCTCATTATATAAACTCTTGAAAGTTTTTCTTTTGCTACTTTTTCATTCATCTAAAGATACTTATTGAATATTTTGTCTGTGACATGCACTGTTCCACATGCTGATTTTAAACAAAAAGAAAAAATAAAATAAGCAACCAAAAAAAAGTTCACTCTTTTGGAGCTTAAATTCTAGTAGGGCATGAAAGATAAGAAGTAAGTGATATTGTATATTGGAAAATGATAACTGCTTAAAAAAATATATAATAATCAGGGAAGGAGTGTTAGCAGCAGTGAATCCACACAGGCCTGCAGCAACTCGATTCTTGCCTCCTTGGAGGAAAGAATTTGGCCGGGGGAACATAAGGCAGAGTGAGAGATCGAGGCAAGTTTTAGAGCAGGAATGAGAGTTCATTAAAATGTTTTAGAGCAGGAATGAAAGGAAGTAAAGTACACTTGTAAGAGGGCCAAGCAGGCGACTTGAGAGGATCAAGTGCGCTGTCTGACCGTTGACATGTGCCTGTATATATTGCTGTGGTTCCAGGGTTTGCATTTCTTCTTACCTGATTTTTCCTTGGGGCAGGCTGTCTGCATGAGCAGTGGCCTGCCAGCACTTGGGAGAGATCGCTTATGCAGTGTGTTTACTGAAGTTGTGCACATGCTCATTTGAGGCTTTTTTTTCCTTACCAGTTGAGTGATCCTAGAGGAAGGTCATATAACAGTTAAAGTCTGCCATTTTGCTTCTTAGTACACATGCTTGAGCCAGCTCACACAACTCTTGAAAACTTATCAAGAAGCTGCTGATGATCAGCTTCAGTTGTTTTCTATCTGTTTAGGAGACTGCCTTTCCCTGGCACCAGCTGCGACCAGTTAAATTATTTTAGAGAGAGAGTTTAACAACTGCCTGACCATCATCTGATAGTCACCTGACATTGCTTGGGGGTTAAGAGGGTGACTTCCCCTGCCCTCTCATGTCTGCCTAGCTACCTACTCAAACAGAAGGAGAGGAAAAACCAAGGGATGAGGGTGACGGGAGAGAGTGTTGGATTTTTAAGTGGGATAACCTGGGAATACCTTATGAAGATGGTGACATTTGAGCAAGGATTTCAAGGTCATTTAGGTGAGCCATGTGAATAGATACCTGAGAAAAGAGCATTCCAGGGCAGGGAAGAGCAAATAGAAAAGCTCTGGAGTAGGAATATACCTGACACTGTCAGGAGTTAACAACAAGACCAGTGTGACTGAAATAGAAAAATCAAAGAGGATGGTAGTGGGAGATCAGATCAAAGACAAGGATGAGATCAAAGTGAGCCATATTGGGTGGGGTCTTCTAGGTCAAAGTAGTAATTTTGGCTTTGACTCTGAGTGAGCTGAGGAGCCAATTCATGTTAAGAACAAAGTAGTAACGTTATTTGCCTGATGTTGTAACAGGATCTGTCTGATATATTGAGAATAGACTTTAGACACAGGCAATGGTGGAAGCAGGGAGACCTTGTTAGGAGGTTGTTGTAATCCAGGTGAGAGAAGATGGTGTCTCAGTTAGTAAAAGTGCTGGTGGTGATATGTGAAAAATTAGAAATTAGCTATAAATTTGCCGACAGATTTGTAGAGGATGTTAGACAAACAGAGACTCTTGCTTTTTACTTTTCTTTCTTGCTAAATGCAAGTCATAATTTTTATTTAATGCAATATAAATAAAACCATTTGTAGCAGCCCTAAAGTTTCTCTTTTTAGCTTACTGGAGATTTTACTTTACTCTGCAGGTAATCCAGCATGTTGTAATTGAAATTACTGATGCTAAACAGAGTGGGTATTCTGATGCTAAACAGTCATTTTATTAGTTTAGACCAGGACTCAGCAAATTATGGCCCAGAGACCAAAGCTGACTCATTGCCTGTTTTTGTAAATAAAGTTTTATTCAAACACAGCCACACCTATTCATTTGCGTGTTATCTATGGCGGCTTTCTGCTACAAAGGCAAAGGATCTTAGAGATCCATAGAGACTAAAATATTTACTATCTGGGCCTTTAATGAAAAAGTTTGCTGACCCTTGGTTTATACTGTTAAGAGTTGTGTAAAAATTTTCCTCTGATCTTTTTTCAGTCACTCAGAGTGTTTAACTTTGAAGAGAAAAATTAAAAGGTGACATGAAATGATAGTAGAGAGAACCAAAAGGTACTAACAAATACTAACATCAACTTCTTTCTCTATGTTAATTTACTCATTTGTTTGCTTTGCGTATTCACTTTCCTCCAGATCTCTGTAGTGCTCTATGTTGGGAAACAAGTGCAGCTGACTAGCTTGAACAAAAAAAGTGTATTTTCTCAACAGTGAAAATTTACTATAGGAATGAATATTGGATTTTAAGAGACTAATTTTTGAATTGCACAACCTTGATAGAAAATAAAAGATGAGTACCAGCATCGATATGAGCATCAATCTTTATGAGGAATTTGGCATTCATCTTAAGACTTTGTGTAATCCAGTGAAGCAGTACTAATAAGACCTCCAATGTTGTTTGTTTTAACAGGTCTATAATGACGGATCTGTACTACCTCAGTCAAACAGATGGAGCAGGTGATTGGCGGGAAAAAGAGGCCAAAGATCTGACAGAACTGGTCCAGCGGAGAATAACATATCTTCAGGTAAGAAGGTTGAGTTAAGAATAAATTTGAGTGAAAAAAAGAAGGATCATGATATAACTAAGAGTAATAATTTCAGTTAGTTTTTAGTCTTCCTGGCCCTTGCCTTTTGAAAATAAGTACTCACATATTTTACATATTTATTCAGAAAGACACTATGTTACTCCTTGAGTGGAATACAAAGATGGCTAAAACAAAGACCCTGTCCTAAAGGGAGCTACTACTTACACACGTACACACACACACACGCAATACAATACAAATATAGCATGTTACATTTATAGGAGAGAAATAGATGAAATGCTTATTGGGGTTTTCAGTAAGGAGACATCAGGGACAGTTTGTGGAGAATGTATTGTTTGAACTGAATTATAAAAGATAGTTAAATAGGATTTGGACACACAGAAATGAAGGAAAAGAATGTACCAGCTGGAGGTTATCCTGTAAGCTGTGGCTCGTAACTGGGAAAGAACAGTACAGGAAAATATGATAAGTGTGCAGTTCAGTTTGTCTGGAATTTTAGGTTGTGTGAAAGGAGGGATGGAAAATAAGTTGGAAAGGTAGGCTTGGAATTACAGATTACAGAGGTTAAGTTTTATCGTACATAAGCAGTAAGTGGTCACTGAAAGATTTTACTTACTTGTTTTACAAATGGTACTATAACAGAAAGTATTGGTAAACATCAAGTCTCAGCCCCTTTAAAATTAATTTCTCTTAACTTTTTGTGTTCTTTTCTAGTTCTTACTAATATGTACACACCGTCTTACATATTTGTAAGGAAATAATTTATTTTTGATTTTGTTTTTCTGCTTAATGTGCCATAAGCATTTTTCTATTTTGGAGTCACAACCTGCTTTTGAAAGGTTTTACATACAAAAGTGGTATGATGAGAGTGGTACTTAAGTGATATTAATCTGAAAGTAGTATTTTAGTTGAACTTGATTATTTGAAGAGACTAGATGCAGGGAGACAAGATAAGAGGGCCATAATGCAGGTAACAAGTATTAAGGTATGTGGCAGTTTGCATTGGAAGTGAAGAGACAAATTTGAGAGAGATTGGGAAGATAAAATTGATAGGCCTTTCCAAGTAGATAAAAGAACTGAAATGGCTGGGATAGTGGGAACATCCTTACCTGATAAGGCACTGAGAGAGAATCATTTTCAGGGGAAAACAATGAATCAGTAGAATCTTCAAATCTCAAAATGTTTGAAGTTGAAATGACCATGAAACATCCTCCACCCTCATCTTTTCTAATGCTGTGGATGGCATGCTATCTGTATATGCTCTACTTTCCCTGTAAAGTTAAAGTGTTGTGTAAAAGCAAAATGACAGCCAGTAATGTGGTTCTATATATTTTAAGGTGCACATTTTTCTACACTTAAATAGGAAAAAATAGAAAATCAAGTGTTTAAAGAGATCATTAAAAACCAAACTGATCTTGGCACGCTATCTTGGTCTCATACCCACATGGCCATTCATCAGAGGTGTCTGCAGAATGAGAAACACTTCACCTCCTGTAGGGAAGAGGTAATTATCTCCTATCAACTAGAACCTCACTCAGTGAACTATAAACAGCTGGTGGTACAGAACTATCATCCTTATTTAAAATGGAAATAACTGTGGTTTCTGAGCTTCCTCCATTTCCTCATATTCATTAAATTTTCACCAACTATATCTGGTGATAGTTCTAAACTATGATCTGGTGATAGTTCAGCTACCTAAACTGTAACAAGTACCTGCCACCTGCTTTAGTTTCTTCCCCCCTCCCTTGGTTTTTAGGTGACCAAGTGCTTTCACCTGTAGTGCTAATTTGATCCTCCATATGCCGATTTTTGTGGTTCCGTATTAGAGAATTTCATTTGCAAATCATGCTAATAATGTAAAGCTACACTGACTTTTTAAAGTATAGCAAAATCTAGCACTTTACTTGGACCTTACCTTCAGTTTCAGATGTTGCTATTTAACAAGTTATTACTTTCATGCTTTTCCTCCCCCCCTTCCCCCCCCCCCCCCCCCGCATTGGGAGAAAAAGGTGATTTTAATATTCAAGGAGATGGGGACAATCTCAGTAGAGAAAAAGTGCTTTGGAAAAATATTTTTCTTTTTTTTCATAGGTTATTGGGGTACAGGTGGTATTTGATTACATTTCTTTAGTGGTGCTTTGTGAGATTTCTGTGCGCTCATCACCTGAGCAGTATACACTGCACCCTATTTGTAGTCTTTCATCGCTCACTCCCCTCCCACCCATTCCTCCAAGTCCCCAAAGTCCATTTTATCATTCTTATGCCTTTGTGTGCTCATTAGCTTAGTTCCCACATATCAGTGAGAACATACGGTGTTTGGTTTTCTATTCCTGAGTTACTTCACTTAGAATAATAGTCTCCAATCTCATCGAAGTCACTGCAAATGCCGTTAATTCATTCCTTTTTATGGCTGAATAGTATTCCACTCTGTATATACATACACATATACCATAGTTTCTTTATTCACTCGTTGGTTGACGGGCATTTGGGTTGGTTCCACAATTTTGCAATTGCGAACTGTGCTGCTATAAACATGCATGTGCAAGTATCTTTTTTCATGTAACAACTCCTTTTACTGGGTAGATACCCAGTAGTGGGATTGCTGGATCAAATGATAGCTCTACTTTTAGTTCTTCAAGGAATCTCCACACTGTTTTCCCTAGCGGCTGTACTAATTACATTCCCACCAGCAGTGTAAAAATGTTCCCTGATCACCGCATCCAGGCCAACATCTACTGTTTTTTGATTTTTTTGATAACAGCCATTCTTGCAGGAGTAACGTGGTATTGCTCTGTGGTTTTGATTTGCATTTCCCTGATTATTAGCGATGTTGAGCATTTTTTTCATGTTTGTTGGCCATTTGTATATCTTCTTTTGAGAATTGTTTATTCATATCCTTAGCCCACTTTTTGATGGGATTTTTTTTTTCTTACTGGTTTGAGTTCTTTGTAGATTCTGTGTATTAGTCCTTTGTCAGATGTAAACTTTGCAAAGATTTTCTCCTGCTCTGTGGGTTGTGTGTTTACTCTGCTGACTGTTCCTTTTGCTGTGCAAAAGCTCTTTAGTTTAATTACGTCCGAGCTATTTATCTTTGTTTTTATTGCATTTGCTTTTGGGTTCTTGGTTATGAAATCTTTGGCTATGCCAGTGTCTAAAAGGGTTCTTCCAGTGTTATCTTCTAGAATTTATATAGTTTCAGGTTTTAGCTAAGTCCTTATTCCATCTTGAGTTGATTTTTGTATAGGGTGAGAGATGAGGATCCAGTTTCATTCTCCTACATGTGGCTAGCCAGTTATCCTGGCACCATTTGTTGAAAAGGGTGTCCTTTCCCCACTTCTTTGCTTTGTTGAAGATCAGTTGGCTGTAAGCTTTTGGCTGTAAATAAATGTCTGGATTCTGTATTCTGTTGCATTGGTCTATGTGCCTATTTTTATACCAGTACCATGCCGTTTTTGTGACTATGGCCAGATAGTATAGTTTGAAATCAGGTAGTGCGATACCTCCGGATTTATTCTTTTTGCTTAGTGTTGCTTTGGCCATGCGGACACTTTTTTGGTTCCATATGAATTTTAGAATTGTTTTTTGCTAATTCTGTGATGAATGATGGTGGTATTTTGATGGAGATTGCGTTGAATTTGTAGATTGCATTTAGCAATATGGTCATTTTCACAATGTTGATTCTACCCATCCATGAACATGGGATGAGTTTCCATTTGTTTGTGTCATCTATGATTTCTTTCAGCACTATTTTGTAGTTTTCCTTGTAGAGGTCTTTTGCCTTCTTGGTTAGGTATATTCCTAAGTTATTTTATTTTTATTTTTTGTGGCTATTGTAAAAGTGGTTGAGTTCTTGAATTGAGTCTCTGCTTGGTCGCTGTTGGTATATAGAGAAGAGCTATTGATTTGGGTATGTTAATGTTGTTTCCGTAAACTTTACTGAATTCTTTATCAGTTTCTAGCAGCTTTTTGGAGGAGTCTTTAGGGTTTTCGAGGTGAACGATCATACAGTCAGCAACAGTTCGACTTCCTCTTTACCTATTTGGATGCCCTTTATTTCTTTCTCTTGTCTGATTGCTGTGGCTAGGACTTCCAGTACTGTGCCAAAGAGGAGTGGTGAGAGTGGGCATCCTTGTCTTATACTAGTTCTCAGAGGGAATGCTTTCAACTTTTGCCCATTTAGTATTATGTTGGCTGTGGGTTTGTCATAGCATTTATTACATTGAGGTATGTCCCTTGCATGCCAATTTTGCTGAGAGTTTTAATCATAAAGGGATGCTGGATTTCGTTGAATGCTTTTTCTGCATCTATTGAAATGGTCAAGCGATTTTTGTTTTCAATTCTGTTTATGTGCTGTATGACATGTATTGACTTGTGTATGTTAAACCATCCCTGCATCCCTGGTATGAAACCTACTTGAACATGGTGGATTATCTTTTTGATATGTTTTTGGATTTGGTTAGCTAGTATTTTGTTAAGGATTGTAGTGTCTATTTTCATCAGAGATATCAGTCTGTAGTTTTCTTTTTCGGTTATGTCCTTTCCGGTTTGGTATTAGGGTGATGCTGGCTTCATAGAATGAATTAGGGAGGGTTCCCTCTTTCTCTGTCTTGTAGACTAGTATCAAAAGGATTAGTACCAATTCTTCCTTTGAATGTCTTGTAGAATTCAGCTGTGAATCCATTTGGTCCTGGACTCTTTTTTTGTTGTTAACTTGTTTAATTACCATTTCAATCTCGCTGCTTGTTATTGTTCTGTTCAGGGTATCTAATTCTTTCTGATTTAAGCTAGGAGGGTTGTATTTTTCCAGGAATTTATCCATCTCCTCTAGGTTTTCTAGTTTATATGCATGAAGGTGCTCATAGTAGCCTTGAATGATCTTTTGTATTTCTGTGGTGTCAGTTGTAATATCTCCTCTTTCGTTTCTTATTGAGGTTATTTGGATTTTTTTCTCTTCTTTTTTTGGCTAATCTTGCCAGTGA